ATGCAAATAAGCAATCTTAATGATTAAGACAAGGAGCACCTTACTGGGCTTCCAGATGGTTTGAACAAAGATAAATGTATGCAGATGCACATATTACTTAAATCTGGTGTGAGGCTTCTGTGCTGCACAGGTTTTGTTTCTTAGATCACTGGTGGGGAAGGATGGACTGAGTTCATAAGAGCCTCAAAAATGTACCTGGGAGCAGAGCAGGTTAGTGATTGAGATGAACAATGCTTGTGCCATTCCTTACACCTTTGTAAGTCTTCATTAACTTGTGCGTACTGCTCTAAAGACAACACTGTCTAAGCACAAGAGGCACTTTCATCTTCATGCAGCATGCTCCTGGCCTGCTAAAGTCTTCTCTTGGGAAGAGAACCAGAAGCACTTGTCTCAGTCTTGTTTGCTTTGGAAGGCTGCTACTGGAAGCTGCTGCTAGAACCTCACTGCATAAGGTTCGTCTTTATTTCACTTTGATGTGTTTCTTCTAAACACTTTCCAAGAAAGTTTTTTATTTTTATATCTATATATACACACACATACTCACACCCCCTCAAAAATACTAGGTAGTCAGAAATTAAGTAATCCAGCCAAACCTCAAGACTAATTAATTAGAAAATATTGCTATGCTACCTCACTGGAGTTTTAATCCAGTTACTCCTTAACTCCATTCCTTGCTATGGGCCACATTCCTTGAACATCCCCCAGCATGCTCTGAAATGTCAGGTTCTCACTTAGAAATGATGACACCTTCTGACATGCATAGATGAGACCTTGGGGCAAGCTTCAGGATATGGTTTAAGTGGAAGTATAAGACACTTAGACTTCATCAATGCCTCACACTAAGTATTCGTCATGATGTGATGGAGGTTTTCTTAGTATTTGGATGTCTAATGAAACAACACTGTACTTGAGAAACAGAATAGAGAGCAAGAAGGGGAACTTAAATAAGAATCCTTTGAATTACCAGGAACTAAAGCAAATAGAATTACTGACTACATCGAAAACAGTAAGACCACCCAACAATAGATCTGTATATACAATTGTAACAGAATGGAAAGCAGAGCAGCAAGGTCCTAGACTGCATCAAGGCAGGGCTTGCTCAAATGTAACAGCTATGAGCACCGCAGTAAAGGAAAGCAGCAGCTTACCTTCAGCAGACCTCAGGCAGGTAGAGATCTCCAGCAAGATACCCTGACCTCCACTGCCAGCTCTTAAATGAGGTCTGGGAAGGGGTGGATCCTGGCTCCATCCCTTCCAGTCACTCAGCTGCATTGCATGCACCTGAGCTCCCCAGCATTGGCCCTGCCTTCCCACCAGGTGCTCAATCAGTGGTTCAGGCTGTGACTCAGCATTTCTGCTACACCCAGTAAACCAGAACAGCAGCTTCTAGAATCATGGTGCCTCCCAGCCTTAAAACCTCGAAGGAAGGGGTAAGAAGCATCCTTGCAGATAACATATGCGAAGGCATACTCCTGAGATGGTGACTTTTTTAGAAGCAGCTACAGGAGCTACAGTTGAGAGCAGCAGCCTATTCTTCCATCTCCTTACTTCACTATGTCTATGATGGGCTTTGAACGATTTTTTACCTTCTCAAATTCTTCTGTACACACTTGGCTGTGCTAACAGTATACCAGGCACTGGCAGAAAGAAACACACCTTCCTGTCACCTCAGGAAAATATTCTTCATTTCCATAATGCAAACTATTAGATTATATAGTACAACAGAAATATACACAGGTATCCTCAATTTACATAAGCTAAAAATTGTTGTTCTGGTATGCTACTATGATACTGAATTTTCATTTTCTTCTATTCAAATGGAAACATAAAGATTTCCATCACTAATGTGGTAATATTTAATGTAAAAAGACTTTGATAACTCTTTGCATCGCCTGCAAGTCAAGCCAGGAATGAGACTATTGGCTTTTTCCTTGCCAAAGCAGATTTATCATTCAGCTCTTGTGAAAAGTTTTATTCAGCAGTTACTGCAGTTACCAACAATAAGGAATCTGTGATATATGTGATACCTAGTTGAATATTTCTTACAGGTGCATGCTGACAACCACTCATGTAAAAAAGCATGAGGGTAATTAGTCTGCAGCTGGCATTTAGCCTAAACCAGGCCTGTGTGCATCTGCCTGGGAAGACACATGTTGAGGCTCTTATATAAAATGCTTCCTTTCCACGGTCATTCTTGAAAGCGTACTTTCCCCATATCAGTGTTCATGAGAGCCAAATAAAAGGTAGAGGAATTGCCCTCAAGGGAAACTCTTCATTTTTATTTAAATGAATAGTTAATGAATCTACTTAAAAAGTACTTGCCCCAGGATATTTCTAGAAAAATCTGTGAACAGAGACCAGTAAAATTAAAATACTAAGTGTTAAACATTTTATGGTTGGGGATAAAGCTTTTTTCTTACTGTAGTGTGCAATAAAAGCACCACAGAAAGGCATGTGGCACATAGCTGTTGGAAGGTGCCTGGTTGCTCAGCGGATGTAAAGCATACAAGATCCTTTAAGGCAAAGATCATCTCATCCACAGCTGGAAACTCCTCCCCTGTCTGGTCTTCTGCTGGAAGAGTGAATACTGTTTCCTTAGGATTTTTGATCTACCAGTTCAGCTTAAGCACGTTTGGGCTGTTTGCTGTGACTGCTTTGGTGAAAGTCCTGGACTATGTCTGGAGGAGAACAAGGCATTGAACAGTGAACATTTCTACTGTTTGAGGTGTAGTAGTGTTTTTTGTTGTTTTGCAGACTAGAGGTTGATTTCTAATATTAATAGCAGAAATTAATGGACATTTATTCTTAAGCATCTTCATGTCCACAAGATGATAGGGATTGTCTCTTGATGCATGGAGAGGCAAAGAAGTATCAGGCAGCAGAGCTCATCTCTCAACCCTGATGCTGCCCTTTCCCAGCTTCACCTCTAGAAGATGGGAATGAGACTCGGACTGCTGTGGTGATTGCTGGAGAAGGAGAGGCTTTAGCAAAACATTTGCAGAGGACCATCACAAGGTGAAGGGCAGCTGGAGATATCCAGGTGTTCGCAGTAAGTGCAGCTGTGCTGTGAGGAATGGGGACAATGCCATTGCCCCATGCTGAGATCAGCAGTACCTTCAAAAAAGAAAGCTACAAGATGGAAGCACTGTATTTTTGTGATTTTCTTCTCATTCAGGCTATACAAAATGCTGAATTTTTCTAATTCCCTAGAATTATCCAATAAAATGACAACACCAACAAAGAAAAAAAGCAACAAAGCCAACCAAACAAGAAAAAAGCATACAAAAACAAACAGACAAGCCAAAAAAACACCCCCAAAAAATATCAGCCTAATTCACTTCTACTGAACAGTGCCACTAAAAGTTTCTCATTCTTCCCAATACCCTTGGCTCTACCTGCGGAGTGTAGCCACAACAAAAGTTTCTTCTACCGCCCTACACCTGGCACCTTCTGTCTGCACTGTTCTCTGCTTTTTCAAATCTCACTTCTTTCACTGTCATTTTTTTTTCCCACAAATATGAAATCATTTTTGCTCTTTCTTCCTTCAGTCTTCATATTGGATTTCATTTTAATTTACTCACTGACCTTTTCCCTTCTCCTGATGGTTTGTTATTGACTGTGTGATACACCAGAGTCTAAATACCTCTTTTATGAGAGTCTCCCTGAGGCTTTCCCAGGCTTGCTTTTATTTTATCTTACAGTGAAGTTGTGTATTTGTGAAATCATTCCCAGCCACCTGGAACCCAGTGAGAGGCTCATTACTGGTTCCAGAGGCACAGGGCTGATCACTGTAATTCCTGAGACTTTAGGAGGAGACTTTTAACATCTCCAACTGACTTCAACAGCAATCTCTCTTGTTCATCTGAGGACATAATTCAAGTCACAAGTCAGCAAACAAGTAATTGACTTTTTTTTTTCTTTTTTTCAGAAAACATGTCAGAGTTAATGGGGAACTACTTAGGCAATTTGAGGCAGAGTTGAGGTCTCATATTTTTAGTGCTTCATATGCTGATAGGTACTGAATTCTGACGCAAAATGATGATCATCCCCTATATTTTCCTGCCAAAACCACAAATCAGAAAATTTCACTGCACTGACATCATTTAAATTGCAAGTCAGAGAAGTGTGTGTGAAGGGTTAATCATCTTCACATTTGAAATACACCCTGTGTTTACAAAATAGATTTCTCATAAGCTCCTCTCTGCAGGCTCTTTACATTTCTCTTTCCAACTGCATAACTGCGTTTGTCTCTTTCACTACAAGCCCTTAGAGAGTGCGACCAGATTCTGAAAGCCATAAATTCTGTGAACTTCGTAATATCTTGAGAGATGCCTCAAAATTCCTTCCATTCACTTTTTGTTTCAAACTATAAATAGAACCTTCTTTCTGCAGCCAGTCTCCAAAGGTCACCTTACGATGTTTTGCTATTTCCCGTATTAGGCAGCAGTGCTTTTCAGCTGACATTCCAACTTCAAGTCATGCATATGAACATGATGTGAGCTTGCTGCAGACTACACTGAGAGGGCTGCAAACAAGACTACTGTATAATTGCTGAGAAGAATATCATCCATTGTCAAAAAGGGCACTTCATCCAACAAAATCTAGCTGCATGAATACAAGTGTCACCAAATGTTTGGCTCATGCTAAAAATATAGCACATTTATTAAAAATATATATTTATAAACATTGGTATGAACAGACACAGATGTTAAGCAAATGAGAAAGTTAAAATAACCACATACCGTATTTCTCCAAACATCTTATCAGTTTTAGGCAGATCTTGCTCAATGCTCAATAGAATTGTTTTGTTTTTTTTTCATGATTGCACCATATGTTCATTCTAAACAAAAAGCTTGTCAGATTAGATGTAAGTAAAAGCATAAACCAAGAGAGAAAATAACATTTGACCTAATGGACACGTGATCTGTGCTATGCAGCTATCTTAGAGTTCCATCTTTGCAGGTATACAGTATACATTTTTAATTGTATATAGTGTACAGTTTCTAATTTTTTTCTTTTTTTTCTTTTTTTCTTCTTTTTTTTAAATTGTGTTAAAACAACATAACCCAGGTGGATTTCTCCAAAGCTACAACTTACATAATTGCAGTCATGTTTTCCCCAAACCAAAAACCAAAGCGAAAGGAAGAGGGCAGGACAGAAGAGTTTAGCTTGTTACTGCGTGAAGAAGTCTTGTTAAATTAATTGTGCTTCAGCCTTCGCTGCCTGCAGGCAGTGCTTTTATGATGTGTTAATATAATACAGAGTCAATTCTGATTAAACAACTTGTCAATAGTCAGTAATGTTTGTTGTCACTCTTAATGGCCGTTTTATCTGCTCTATTTGCATGCCTGCTAGTTTACAACGTTGTGTAAATGTACACAAAAATGATCACAATGAGGTTTAGAATTGTCCCAATAATTCCAAGCATTGCCAAGATGGTTTCTTCTTTGCTCTCCTTTTCTTGATTGCCTTTATCTTCTTCATTTCCACTAGTGATTACCATCTTGGTGGCCAGTTTCTTTATCGTCCCCTTCAGGATAATCTAGAATTAGGAAGAAAAATACCAGAACACATTATTTAGGTTGTTTTTCTGAGCTTATATAAATGGTGGAGAAAACTGCAGGATTTTTGCCTCTTAACACTGTGCATTAAAAATTCATTTTAAAGTTTAACATTTTTTTCTAGCTATTTAGTAAATGCTTAATTAAGTGATAGTTCAGCTAGCCTGGAAATTTCTTATAACCCTCCAAAATATCCTCTGCTTATCCACTAGCCATCATTTACAGCATTAATCACTCATCTGCAACATTGCTATGAAGCTGGTTAGAAGTGTACCACTGAGATGTGACTTCCACCTGTGTCAGTGGGAACTTGGTTTGCATTAGGAATGTAAGAGACATTGGAAAGTTGCAGAAAGCCTGAATTTACACGTTGGTACCAAGGACTGAGTGAGTGAGAGAAACAAAAATGGGAAGAACTTTTTTCCTTTTTTATAGGAAAAACTATCAAAGACAAAGATATTTTGTCTTCTGACAAGAAAGAAGACAGCAGTGACTTGCCTCTAAATAATTCAAAATAACAGCAAAACCAGAATAACATCCATCGTGGCTTTTATTTTCCTCATTCTTAATGTACGATGAAAAGTTCCTTGCAGTGCCGTGAGCTGAGAGGTATTGATCTGCCTGCAGGGAGGATACGGCCATTTCCTAAGCAGCAGCTCTAACATCTGAACTGCTCAAAAAAGAAAATCCTTCAGTTCTGGGACCAGCCCTGACTTCGGGCACTGCTGGAGCTCCCCTGGTGTGCCAGCCAGGTAATGAGACCTGGGTAAATGTTTGATCTTCAAATTAGAAATGGATAAATTCTATTCATCCGTGCTTACATCTATCTAACGCAATTCAGACACAACTAGAAAACCAGACTGACCCAGAAAACTGAAGCAGGCTGGCTGTTTTCCCAAAGCATACAGATCTGCCAACAGCTGAGCTTGGGCTGTGTCCTACTGTTATCTCTGTGACTGCCCACCACATCCTGTGACCTTCCTGCTGCTGGCAGGAGGCAGCAAAAGCTTCCCCAAACAGCTCCTGCACACAGGAGGGAGTTAGTTGGAGAAGAAAGGAGATGCAACCTCTTCTCTTATTCCTCCAGCAGCTAACCTATGGATCAAAGCTGCTGGATCTACACAGCTTGGGCAGGCAGAGAAAAGAGAACTGTTTAGAACAGGCAAATATCCCCCCAGCATCACAATTTGGAACTCAGTTGTGCAGCCCGAGCAAAGTCTTTGTTCATGCAGATGTAGCGCAGCAGAGTACCAAAAAGGTGAAAAGGTCTGGAAGAGTAGAATTTTCTCAAGAGAGACTAGGACAAAAAAAAAAAGAGAGTCCAGACAAAACAGTGCGTTTGTTTTGTCTGCCAGTTGTTCATATATAGGACAGCAACCTCTGCTGACATCCTTGCGAGGACTGGAATCTCAGCAGGTACTGATGATGTACAAGTGATTAGCGGTGAGTAAGGCAGGAGTCGGGGTCTGTGGAGGTGCTACCAGCCCTTACATGAACACTTGTATTAGCATTTACGTGCTTTGCCTTGGTGTCACCAAGTGATTCAGCAGAAAATGAGGCAGTTGGTAACCTCGATGTACTCACAGCAAAGCTGTGACTTCTCCTAGAGGGATGCTGCACCAGACAAAAGAATGCTCTCATCTCACAGGTCTGCTGCTAATCTGACCCAGACAGGCAAAGCTTCAGGGGCACTGGGCACCTCCCAGGGCATGCTGGCTCCTGGTTCCACTCCAGCCCTCACAAACTGCTCCCCACATTCTTCCAGCCACTCCCAATTGCAACTCTTCCTGTTGGACATCCTCTAGCAGCAAATGGTCCTTGCCATATTTGCCCTCAGCTAGTTCCTGGAGGAGCCCAAGTGTCCCACCTGTTGCTTGGTTCTGCTTTGCAACTAGCAGGTGCTTTCCCTGCCTATGGAATTGCCACTGCACAATCAGTGATACCCAGACAGGAAAGCTGGCTCAGGGAAATACCAGGAGAGTTCCTATGAAAGCCATTTACACTAACCTCACAACCCAAGGCATTGAGTCCACATGGCAGCAGACCACAAACCCGCATCCCTAACTGTGCCACAGTCAAGCACTCTCCCTTTTCAGTAGCCAAGATGTGGTCTCTATAGTCAAATACCTGCATTTCACTATTTGTTTGAAAAATCAAGTGGAATCACAAATATGATCAGAACACATCCCAAGACTCAAACAAGAGGATTTGAAGAGGCATTCATGTGCTGTGTCTGAAATTCTGTAGACAGGTTCTACTGAGCTGAGCACTGTTCATTCAGCACCTCCAGCTCTTGTAGAAACACAATGATAGCCAAGCATCCTGTGAGCCCTTCAGGCTCTGAAAAAAGCCAGAGAAGATACACTGATTAATTCATAGGTCTGCCTTATCCTATGGTTTGGGCAGAGTCAACCAGTCAACCTCAGCTGGGGTGGATTTCCACACACCCTGAACTGACCAATATGGGTTGGTCATGGCATCTACACCATGCATGCTCAATAATTCTGTTTCTGGGATTGATGTGAGCAGAGGCAGCTGGAGGGCATCAAAACCTCTACTATGAGCAACACATCTTTTCTAATAAATTCAAAGTGTGCAGCATGCAATTAAAGTGTCAAACTCTTTCCTGCAGGACACTGCAAATCCTAAAATTAACATAAATCTTAAAAGTAGCTAAATAATTCACAAAAGAAAAAGTATATCAAAGACTATAAGATATAAAGAAAAGCCCTCTGGCTTAGGAAGTCCTTGAGTTGTGATTTCTTTCTTTTTTTTTTTTTTTTTTTGAAGCTGCAAAAGTATTCTGAGGAAGTACCACCAGATCCTTGCCTTTTTATTAAAATTTTTCCCATGTACACACTGCTGGCAGCTACAATAGAGGGGTCACCAGGCTGCACAATCTCTAAGCTGAGGTCATGCAATCATTTTTCTGTTCATTGCATGTTCTAATAATTAGCAAGGAGATACCGAGTTTCCTTGGAGGAATTGCTCCAGTGTGAATACACTACTTGCTATTCCATGCCTCACCTACGCTACGAGAGACCACAGTGGGCTTGGTATTAGGAGTGCTTAATATTCCAGCAGGACAAGACTGGGACCAAATACAATTATATTAGTACTTTGCCAAATATAGAACTGTTGAAACAAGGTAAGCTTTGACTTTGAACCGTAAGGAGACCAGAATCAAAATTACTTTTCCACATTTATGGAGTGACCTTGGGAGACAAGAAATGCTCTCCTGATGCCAGATTCAAGCCTTTAACCTTCACAGATCTTGTGCTCAGAGAGGAATTTCGGTTGGCATCTTGTGGGTGTTTTTTGTTACAGGGAAAACAGTTCCCGACATTTTTAATATAATGTCCCTAATTAATGAAAAAGAAAATAAAAATCTTTTGGCTTTCTAGGACCTTTTTCAGCCTTTGTTATTCTCCTCTGGAAATTGATTTCATTTATTTGACATTGTTTCATGTTTTAAAATTGTTATGACACACTGCTCCTTTTATGTTTTTCCTTATGCAACTTCATGCTTGTCAGAAACACTCCTTTTCCTTGCCGAGAAATGCTGATTAATATAGAAGGTGTAAAAAGCACTAGATATACCATTTCTTTAATAATGATCCTTCTTATTAAGTAGTACTTCATTAGGTAAGTGATCTCTTGCCTTATCAAAATGAATGTGCTCCCTATACCATTTTGCAAGATTCATCATTAACCTGGTATCAGCTTTTCAAGAAGATATATAGTCTGTAAAGATATACATGAAAAGTTATTTATTCCATGTATTCTGCTTTGCACAGTGGCAAGGACAATCAGAGGTTAGAACACTTCTCTGATATCCACCTCTTTGAACAACTATTGACTTTGTACATATCTGGGGGATATCACTACATCTCTCTCTGCCTCAGTTTCTAATCTGTGGGATTCTTTCAAGAATAGCCCAGTCTATCCTGGGAAATGACTCATAGAAACAGCAGTGCCTTTCAGAACAGGGAGATGTTAACATGAACAATTTCAAATCCAACTATGTTACAAGATACTCACACTGCCATCTCCACAAAACCATAGGTCTCACTGCATGCTGATGTCATTGTAAGCAGACCTATGGACTAGTCACGGCATTTCTAACAAGAGGAAATAACTGTTCCTTGCCTTCTCACCCTCAGCATGAACAGTCAGTGAGCTGAAAGTGATGGGGCAGCAGCAGGGCTTTGGAAATGGTGGCAGAGAGTGAGTGCATATTTGTTATTTTACTGCAGTATGTTTGTCAAGTTGAAGGTACAAACCACATTCCTTGTGAGGTACCTGCCTGACATATCTGACAGCTTTTGAACATGCTGGCTCCTTGACTTGCTCTTGACAAAGATTAGCAATCTGCAATCTCTTTGCTTGTAGGTCACTACTGAAAGAGTGCCCAAGAGGCTGTGAGCTGGGAGGAGCGCAGCTCCCAGATATTAGAACGGAGAGAAGGGTCTGCTTGGACCTGTGCTGACCTGTATGATCCAGTGCCTTGACAAACAAGAATGGAAACTTCTGCAAAGCTCTGAGGGTCAGGTGCTGAGCAGCCTCCCTTCTCCACTCAGCCACGCTACCTCCATTTACAGCAGCTGAGGAGCTGCCTTCTCATCTTCAGTCTAGCTTGAATATCATTGGGCACAAATTTTGTATTCTTAATACATAATCACGGACAATCACCAGCCAAACTGTTCTGATATTTAAACTTGTTTATAGTCCCCAGGCTATTAGTTGTGATGACACATTAACAGATAAGAGAGCTTTAATTTTCTGGGCATAGTTCCGCCCTCTGGGGATAAGAAACAGAGCAGAAACTTGTTTTGATTAGCAAACTGAAGGAGGCACAGAAATCATACAAAGCAGACTGTGAATTCACCTGCTGCTGGAGCTGCCATCTTTTCTTATTGCACACAGAAGCACTCCAGTTACCAGTGGAGGAGAGGCTTAATGCCACTTATGCAACACACAA